TGAAGTTTTAGACTATTACGACCTTTAGGCTTTGGGTAAATTAAGTTTCATGGAATTAGGCTGGTCCTGTTTACTATGTCATGTTGAAATATGTTAAAAAAAATACCTTGGAGGGTCTGTTATAAATACGTTTCACTTTTATAAATGCAATGGAACTTTTATTCTATCTTGTATTTTTCAGCATCTGGGAAGAATATCCCACTTGATTTTCAAAGATGACAGATGTACCATCATTTAACCCTACTGCCTGATGCACGTACTTACACCCCATCTCTGACATGAAGGGAAAAATACTTCCTAAGATCTAGCAACTCGGAGCTCGGAGGCTGTATTACCTAGTGTCCTGGACAAGTAGCCCTGCCATCTTTTCTCACTGCAAAGCTGCCAGCCTGAAATGGTGAGCTGTCACTCACACCTACGGCCCAGGAATAGTGGCAATTTCATGATACGTTCACAACGACACTGAGCACAGCACTGGGACACGGTTCATTTTCTTGACAAGTAGATTGATCATCCCTCCCTTCAAATATTTTCCACAGCAGTAAAGCTGTAAAGAGTTAAGATAAGTGAGCATTGCCCCAACTCTGGACTTGATTGTGCATCAGGACTAACGGAGGATAAGCTATCCTGGGTTTCCTCTCTGGCTGGAGGGAGCTCTCTAGGCTGCGTTCTGCTAAAAAAAAATAAAAAACTTAAGCTTCCAGGAAAACCATCGGCAGGCTTTACTTATTTTGTAGCCAGTGATTATCTGAATGTGAGATAATGCCTCCTGTTGCAATCTCTCTGTGCCTTGCGAAATCGCCGTGAAGTACCTTTTAAATGACAACAAACCGAGGAAAAAGGAGCGTGTAATTGCATGTCAGAGAGGAAGGTGCAAGCAGGCACCGGTGGCAAAGGTCAGTCCTCCCTCTGGTTTCTCTGCACAGATAATGGTCACCTGGAGGCTCTCCACTGCCCTGGAAGAGAAGGTCAGTAACCTTTGGAGGCGTCCAACCTGAGGACGCAAGATAGCAAGTGCATCCAAATTACCGGAGACGCTGACATAAATATCGAGTAACCAGGGCGGGTGACTGCAGTTCTGGTCCCTTGAAAGCAAAACAGTAAGGCTCGGTGGATCTCTAATAGAGCTTCCCAGGAGGGAGGCTTGATATGTCATTTCTAAAAGTCGACAGTATGATTTAACTTGACACCACTAAGCCCCTCTGTTGTCCATCTGGTATCTGTCTGTGCCAAAGACACCCTACAGGCTCCTATCAAGGCCACGTGCCACCGAGGTACTTCTTCTCGGGTTTTCAGCCCCACGTACCTACAGCCTAGATTGGGTCTTTCTAGATCGGTGTAACTGAATGCTCTCAGTCTAGTCCGGGGCTTCAGCAATCACAGGTTTAAAGGGAAGCAATGCCACATGGATCGACACTTCCTTTCTTTTCCTCCCTGAAGTCTCTGAATTTGCCCCTTTGCCTTTGCTATACTTCCACTATGAAAATGCTCCTTACCTTCCAGCACGTTCTTTAAAAAAAAGTGACTTATTTCCAGCATTGCCCAGAAAGAAATACATGCAACTCAGAAGTAGGTTTGGTGTTGGTTAAAAGCTGCAATCCCTATATGCAGATCAAATTTTTCCAGGAAACATATTGACCCCTAGCGTCATGATCAGATGAGATTTAACCAGTCTGTTGCGGAAAATAAGACGCTCTAGAAGCTAACCTAACAAAGAATATTTCAGGAAAAGTGTCTTTCTGAGGAGTTCACCCAGAGTAGTCTTGACTTAGAACGTGCCCTCCTAGTTGACCAGGACATGCCGTTTTCCTCAAATATTTGCAGAGCCTAATGACGTTGACTTTTCCACACCAGAACGCAAACCTCATAAGCTACTGACAGTGAACATGATTTGTTCCTGGGAGTAGCTGCAGGGTTGGGTTTTCTGCTGCTGAGCTTGCTGTCAACATTATCTCATTAGGAAGCAGCCAGCGAAGCACAACCACCCACTCCATGCCCCGATCTTGGTTCTTCTATCTATTCTCCAATAAAAGGAACCAGGGGTCCTTGGAGAAATGGCTCACTCTAGGACTAGGGTGGGAACTATACAAGACCATCAGCTTGGAACGATACATCGAAGGACACGGGAGTCCAGAAGAGAGAGCTCCCGCTGGCAAAGCTGGAGGAATCTGAGCAACAAAAAATGATGTAGTATTGAATTATGAGCCACAGCACAGAGCAAATACCCATGAGTCTATACTGGTATATATAAACAGATAGGGGCAAATCTCCAGCACAGAATAGAATACTCCCCCCTTAGGGAGGTGGAGGCATAGCTCCCCACTCCTGGAGTGTGGGCTGATCACAGTAACTTCCTTCCAAAGAAGGACAAGATGGAAAAGGGGAAAACAACCTTCAGGTGGAGAAACCTGGCAAACATAATGGGCCAGGTGATCAAGGTACCATCATCAGTGATGTCAGGCCGAGAGCGTGTTCTCTTGAGGAGGTGTGATGAGAACGGCCCTTTAACTATGTGGTTTTCCTCCCGAAGGCCCGTATGCCCAGTCTAACCATGAGAAAAACCCCAGACAAACCCAAACTGAGTGACATTCTACATAGTGCCTCACCGGTACTCCTCGAAACTGACAAGGCCACAAAGACAAGCAGAGTCTGAGAAACTCTCAGAAACCAGAGGAGGCTAAGGAGACAAGATGACTAACTGTAGCGTGGTGGCATGGATGGGATCCTAGAACAGAGAAAGGACATGAGGAAAACGCTCACGAAATCTGAATGAACGGTGGAGTTTAGTTCACAATAACGTACTGGGTTTGGTTCCTTATTTGTGACAAATGTACCACAGCGGAGTAAGATGGAGTGTGGGGTGAAGGGTCCGTGCTATCTTCACAATGCTTCTGTAAATCTAAAATAATTCTAAAACCAAAAGGTTAAAAAAAAAGAAAAAAAAGAAGACCCATGACCCACTCCTCTTTTATTTGACAGACTGTGACTCTTTTTCTGAGGTCCAGGCACTGACCACGAAATTTTTACTTTGAATTTTGAGATACTTATTTGTTTTTCTTTTTCTTTCTTTTTTTTTTTTAAGAATCAGTGACTTGTTTGCTTGCATCATTTTAATCCATTTCTTGGGAAGATTCGGCATCTATGTCTATGACAACAATGACGGGGATATTAAAATAGCAAACACTATGTAGCACTTCTTATGGGCCGGGAACCGGAAGAAATGCTTTGTACATACTAAATCATTTCATCTTTACTTTCCTATGAGAGCTGTACTATTACTACCCACTTTACAGATGAAGAGACCAGGCACATAAAGTTTTCTTCACCTGCTCAGGACCACACAGCTAGCAAGTGGCCCAAACAGGACCCCTGCCTCTCTGGTTAAGCCCCCAAACACGTGATCAGCATGTCAGTGTTGTGGGCATGATTCCAGAGTAATTTTCAGGACAGGATCACTGCCATCTACCATCACAGACAAATTTACAAATGTACATGATGGTGAATGCACATTGATTCATTCACAACATTTATCTGCCCCGATGCAGCTGGAGGATACCTGAGCTCCCCTGTGTATCTTTGCGGGGATGGAGGTGTGGGTCTTATACCTGCAGCAGATCACAGTTTCCAGGTTGGGAGAGACAAGCGTGGTTTCTACAATCTCAGATTCTCATGCATCCCTCTAGGGGTCTCCCCATTTGAACCCCTACCCTAGATACTGATGAAAACAGAATCTACTTGAACTATTTACATTGTTTTTTAAAGTTTAGGTAAATGAGAGTATCATGTTATTTAATACATTTATTAATAACATTTCTCCATCTATTCTTATTTACCCAGTGCATTATTTACCTATCTAGTCTAGATGAATTTTTGTTTGTTCTTCTTTCTCTAGTTCCTTTAGGTGTAAGTTTAGGTTGTTTATTTGAGATGTTTCTTGTTTCTTGAGGTAGGCTTGTATTGCTATAAACTTCCCTTAGAACTGCTTTTGCTGCATCCCATAGGTTTTGGATCATTGTGTTTTCGTTGTCATTTGTCTGTAGGCATTTTTTGATTTCCTCTTTGATTTCTTCAGTGATCTCTTGGTTATTTAGTAACGTATTGTTTAGCCTCCATGTGTTTGTGTTTTTTACGTTTTTTTCCCTGTAATTGATTTCTAATCTCATAGTGTTGTGGTCGGAAAAGATGCTTGATATGATTTCAATTTTCTTAAATTTACCGAGGCTTGCTTGATTTGTGACCCAAGATGTGATCTATCCTGGAGAATGTTCCGTGTGGACTTGAGAAGAAAGTGTCATCTGCTGTTTTGGGATGGAATGTCCTATAAATATCAATTAAACCTACCTGGTCTATTGTGTCATTTAAAGCTTGTGTTTCCTTATCAGTTTTCTGTCTGGATGATCTGTCCATTGGTGTGAGGGGTTAAAGTCTCCACTATTATTGTGTTACTGCCCATTTCCTCTTTTATAGCTGTTAGCATTTGCCTTATGTATTGAGGTGCTCCTATGTTGGGTGCATATATATTTATACTTGTTATATCTTCTTCTTGAATTGATCCCTTGATCATTATGTAGTGGCCTTCCTTGTCTCTTGTAACATTCTTTATTTTAAAGTCTATTTTATCTGATATGAGTAATGCTACTCCAGCTTTCTTTTGATTTCCATTTGCATGGAATATCTTTTTCCATCCCCTCCCTTTCAGTCTGTATGTGTCCCTAGGTTTGTAGTGGGTCTCTTGTAGACAGCATATATATGGGCCTTGTTTTTGTATCCATTCAGCAAGCCTGTGTCTTTTGGTTGGAGCATTTAATAAATTCACGTTTTTTGTCTGTTTGTTTGTTTTTGCAGTACGTGGGCCTCTCACTGTTGTGGCCTCTCCCGTTGCGGAGCACAGGCTCCCGACGCACAGGCCGAGCAGCCATGGCTCACGGGCCCAGCCGCTCCACAGCATGTGGGATCCTCCCGGACCGGGGCACGAACCCGTGTCCCCTGCATTGGCAGGCGGACTCTCAACCACTGCGCCACCAGGGAAGCCCAATAAATTCACGTTTAAGGTAATTATCGATATGTATGTTCCCATGACCATTTTCTTAATTGTTTTGGGTTTGTTTTTGTAGGTCCGTTTCTTCTCTTGTGTTTCCCACTTAGAGAAGTTCCTTTAGCATTTGTTGTAGAGCTGGTTTGGTGGTGCTGAATTCTCTTAGCTTTTGCCTGTCTGTAAAGCTTTTGATTTCTCTGTCAAATCTGAATGAGGCACTTGCCAGGTAGAGTAATCTTGGTTGTAGGTTCTTCCCTTTCATCACTTTAAAAATATCGTGCCACTCCCTTCTGGCTTGTAGAGTTTCTGCTGAGAAATCAGCTGTTAACCTTATCGGTGTTCCCTTGTATGTTATTTGTCGTTTTTCCCTTGTTGCTTTTTAATAAATTTTCTTTGTCTTTAATTTTTGTCAATCTGATTACTGTGTGTCTCGGCATGTTTCTCCTTGGGTTTTTCCTGCCTGGGACTCTCTGAGCTTCCTGGACTTGGGTAGCTACTTCCTTTCCCATGTTAGGGAAGTTTTCGACTATAATCTCTTCGAATATTTTCTCAGGTCCTTTCTCTCTCTCTTCTTCTGGGACCCCTATAATGTGAATGTTGTTGCGTTTAATGTTGTCCCAGAGGTCTCTTAGGCTGTCTTCATTTCTTTTCATTCTTTTTTCTTTATTCTGTTCCACAGCAGTGAATTCCACCATTCTGTCTTCCAGGTCACTTATTCGTTCTTCTGCCTCAGTTGTTCTGCTATTGATTCCTTCTAGTGTAGATTTCATTTCAGTTATTGTATTGTTCATCTCTGTTTGTTTGTTCTTTAATTCTTCTAGGTCTTTGTTAAACATTTCTTGCATCTTCTCGATCTTTGCCTCCATTCTTTTTCCGAGGTCCTCGATCATCTTCACTATCAACATTCTGAATTCTTTTCCTGGAAGGTTGCCTATCTCCACTTCATTTATTTGTTTTGCTGAGGTTTCATCTTGTTCCTTCATCTGGTACACAGTCCTCTGCCTTTTCATTTTGTCTTTCTGTGAATGTGGTTTTCATTCCACAGTCTGCAGGATTGTAGTTCTTCTTGCTTCTGCTGTCTTGAAATACCTATCTGTATTTCAAGATACATTCATCTCGAGTAGAGTGTAGACCACTCCAGACAAACCTTCTGTCTCCATGACCATTGGCTTCTTTTTTTTTTTAAAAAAAAATCATGTTAGCCTGTGTAGAAACTAACCAAAGGGCTGCAGCCCTTTTATTCACAAGCTTAACATGAAGTTTCTGGTCAGCATGTGTGTCATGGTCACATTTCTAATGAGGGTTCGGTTGGGCAAACCAATGACTAATCTAACACCTCCCTTAGAAGCAACCTGTTAGTAGGCCTCGGCTGTATGTAGTTGTTCTATGTTGGGGGCAGTATCTAACCCTTCACTTCTAAATCCACGCAGTAGTCAGCTAAGTTCTGACACAGTTTTACCATGTATTGAGATACCCAGATAGGATCAGAGTGTACAGCAAGGACGAAGGAAGCCCCAAAACGTACAGAAATAACACTCCTGGGCCTAAGATGTTACAGTCTGAATCAATGTGACTAGAACCACACCACGGGCATCTTTCCCAAGACCTTCCTCATCCACAGAGTCAGTCCCTGACTTGCCCTGGGACTGAATCTCTTTCCCAAGGACTTGGGATTGGAATTTGAAGAAGCTAATTGTCTCCGTCAGCATTTGAACTCAGAGAACTTAGAAACCCAGCCACAGTGAGACAGCCGTTCCCGTGCATCCTGAGAGGACTCCATTCCACGAAGGAACACTGCCAAGAACTCTGGTCTTGACTTAATTTCCAGAAGCTGTTGACCACGCTTTTGAGGAACTCACAAAGCTGTCTCCATTACCCTGAATAATCAGCATTAGCATCAAGTCAGACATTCTGAACCCCTGCATTTAGAAGAAGTGAAATACATGCAGCTGTTCTGAATTAAAATAGCCGGCCCTGGGCATCAGTCTTATTTGGAGGTTTTACTTAGAAAGAAGGGACCAACTTATGTTTAATTGGGGTTAAGTCCCCACTGGGTAAACCAGTGGTAACCTTCAACAATGCCGCCCACAAAGCGGTGGTTACAGGCTAGGCTCTGGACTGTGTGCTTGATGAGTAAGTTGACTTACATTCTGGTGCCAGCTCCTTAGTGCACCTCAGATGACCAGACCGCCAGCACCACCTGGGGGCCCAGGCTGAGGAGCCCAGGATCTGCACAAAATGCTCCCACCAGTGCCGGGCACGGCGAATGTGATCAATCTCAGCTATCATCACTGTAAAAGGTTTCCTGGAACCGCAATAAAATACCAACGGTGGGGTCATCTGCAGGTGTTGAGATTAGGGTTGATTTTATTTCCTCTTTGTACTTTTCCCTGTTTTACCACAAAGCGCGGGTCTTCTTTCTTCTGGTTCAGAAAATAATTTAGAATAAAAAGGACCCCGTGCGTCTGTGTTCACAGATAAAGTCAACCTTCGTATGTGCCGATGACAGGGATGAAGCAGTCTTGCTTCAGAACGAGGGGTGGCTTTCAGAGGTGTCCGCCGGCTCGGTTTTCAAACTGCATCTAATGTCACTCCAGGCAGAAGGCACCCTGATTCGATTTACTTGAGGGTTGAGGTTGGAGGCAAAAGAAGGCGGACTCGATAGGATACACACACGCCTACCTCGCTTGAGTTTTCAGAGACCCGGGAATGCCATTTGGCCTTTTGGTTCTTAGCATCACGATATTGCGCTGTCTGCACATGTGTGGTGGGAGTGGAGGAGGGTAGGGGTGGGGCAGGGGCATTTCCTGAAGGGTTTTGCAGGTCATGGTTGTGACTCTGGGAGCCTCGGGACTTTGTGGACTGGAGGAGTGACGCGATCGGACTGCTGTTTTGACAGGCTCTCCCAGGGCCGTGTGAGAACAGACTGTGGAGGTCGGGGGAGCCCTGTGGAGGAGAGGCTACTATAACAATCCAGGTGAGAGATGGCCTCGGACCAGGAGGTGAGAAACGCTCAAACCTGGAGGCGCCTGAAGTTAGGCCCCTGGGGTATGCTGAGGTGTCCCCGTGCAGTGTGAGAGGGTGTGATGTGAGGTGACTGAGCAAGCATCACTCTCCTTCAGGCTGGAGGCCTGGCTGCCCACGGGGGGGCCCTCCCGGCCTGCGCTCTCCACAGTTACTCTCCTTGCTGGCGGCTGCCTGAACTAGATGGGGCTGCTTCTAAGAGCTTTCCTAGTGCCATCGGCGAGCTCGTGAGAAGTCGCCACATCCCCAGCGGAACGACAGCATTTCATCAGGACTGACTCTTCAGAACCAGGGTGAGTCCCAGTGTTGAGGGAAAAAAAGTGCTGTTTTACTAGTGTGGAAATGCTCAAGCAGACCATGTGTGAAAAGGCTGACGAACCCAATTTCTGGGGAGCAGCATTAAAGGGGGTGACAGGAGCAAGCCTGTAGTAACCTCCAGAGGGAACGGGCTGCTGCCCCTCGGAGCTGCCGATCGGGGACCGCTGACCCATCCTCTGAAGGGGTGAACAGCCACACGGGCATGAAGGCGAAGGGGCAGCACGGGAGGAGGCGACGGAGAAAAGCACTTCCGGGCGGGACAGAGGCATGGGTAGCACACTGAGAATTACAACAGTGCACAGTGAAGAGATCCATAAAAAGGGTGACTTCTGACGCAAGGTCAGGCCCACAAAAGTTTCAGTAGGCTGAGACAGATGGAGTAAACCACCTCTATTACTGAGAGAAACAGAGCTTGGTTTTCGGTTAAGCTAGGGAGCATGGCAAAGCCTGGTACCGAGTATTTAGGTACCGCCTAATATTCTCTGCGTGGCCTGCTGACAGTTACAATTATTATAAACATCTACCTGGAATATTCTCATAGGGGAGTTGACGTAACCATGAACGGTTACAGCACATTTTTGATAAAATATTATATTAACATTTTCAGATGTAATTTAAAAAATCAGCTTAAGAATATGAAAACTAAGTCATCCCTGTTATCATTTCGATTCAGTGAAATTGCCGTATACACACTTAAGAGCAGTTGGTGCATTTTTCCCATGTAAGCTGACTGAATTCTTGGTAAGAAACAAAGGGTTGATTGAAAGAAACAACACACTTCAAACAGCAGGGGGCGCCATGCACCAAGGCCGCAGGTGGCACTCCAGTTGTGAACTCCCGCCCATCCCATCTATATCTGCAGAATGGTAATTCTTTCCTTACGTGATCTGAAGAATATTTAGAAAGTTCCAACCTTAGCTTATGTTTAGCCTTTACTTTTTTTGACTGCTAGTAGTCAAACTGGAACTTGCTAGAGGCTGCGTGTGTTGGGCGGGGTATAGAGAGTGATTATTTAATGGGTAGAGAGTTTCCGTTTCGCAAGTTGAAGAGTTCTGGGGATGGATGGTGAGGACAGGAGCACAACAATATGAATGTGCTGAACTGTACACTTACACACGGTTCAGGTGCTAAGTTATATGTGAGGTGTATTTTAGCACAATTTAAAAAAATTTAAAAATTGGGGCTTCCCTGGTGGCGCAGCAGTTGAGAGTCCGCCTGCCGATGCAGGGGACACGGGTTCGTGCCCCGGTCCGGGAAGATCCCACATGCCGCGGAACGGCTGGGCCCGTGAGCCATGGCCGCTGAGCCTGCGCATCCAGAGCCTGTGCTCCGCAACGGGAGAGGCCGCAGCAGTGACAGGCCCACGTACCGCAAAAAAAAAAAAAAAAAAAGGAACCTGCTTATAACAACACAATATGCACGTGCATTTGCTAATTGCTTTAAGAACTGCACGTGTGCACTGTTGGTGGGAATGTAAATTGGTGCAGCTACTACGGAGAACAGTATGGAGATTCCTCAAAAAACTAAAAATAGAGTTGCCATATGATCCAGCAATCCCATTCCTGGGCATATACCCAGATAAAACTATAATTTGAAAAGATACATGCACCCCCCCAATGTTCATAACAGCAGTATTTGCAATAGCCAAGACATGGAAACAACCTAAATGTCCATCGACAGATGAATGGATAAAGAAGATGTGGCACATATAGACAATGGAATATTACTCAGCTATAAAAAAGAATGAAGTAATGCCATTTGCAGTAACATGGATGGACCTAGAGATGATCAGACTAAGTGAAGTAAGTCAGAAAGAGAAAGACAAATACCTTATGATATCACTTATATGTGGAATCTAAAGTATGACACAAATGCACTTATCTACGAAACAGAATCAGACTCACAGACGTAGAGAACAGGCTTGTGGTTGCCAAGGCAGGGCCAGCGGGAGGAGGGATGGATTGGGAGTTTGGGATTAATAGATGCAAACTGTTATATATAGAATGGATAAGCAACAAGGTCCTACTGTGTAGCACAGGGAACGATATTCAATATCCTGTGATAAACCATAGTGGAAAAGACTATGAAAAAGAATGTGTATATAGGTATAAGTGAATCACTTTGCTATAGAGTAGAAATCAACACAACATTATAAATCAACTATACTTCAATAAAATAACCTAAAAAAAGGAACGCACCTGTGGATTTGTACTGTCACTCTGTTATGAGGTAGAGAGTTGGGGACCAGTCTCAATTGTTTTAATCTGCCCTGAACAAACCAATCGAACCCTCAAATCTACAACATATGATGACTTAAAACGCAAATGCTGGATGACTGAAGCTTTGGGGAGAAGTGTGAAGGGGGGCAGAGGCTCAGTGGGAAGGAACTAACTCTTATCAATTATTTACTATACGCCAAGAGCCTTCCATAGGCTATGTCATTTAATCCTTACCCCAGTCCCAGGGTCGTGGCTTTGTTTTGGGTCCTCTATTGAGGACAGCAGGACCCAGAGGGGCTGTGTGACTTTCCCCAGGTCAGCCCATTTGTAAAGGGTAGGGCCAGGATTTCAACCCCGGCCTTGGGGACTCAGAAGCCTTGCTCTCCCCATGTCTCTGGGATGTCTAAAGGCGCCCAACTGGCCCAATGGTTCACGGTACACAGACACCGTGAGGGCCGCCAAATGAGAAAGTCTTAAATTCAGCATCCTTGGTCCTCTTGGTCCTTTTCGTCCTTCCCCCACGCACAAGAGGTCCTTTTCTTCTCCCGGATAATGTGAACAATGAGAAGGCAGTCTCGGGGCACGGGGGTAGGGCAGCCCAGCAGAAACAAAGCCTCAAACAGGCCGTCCTTGTGGGAGATACAGGGCCAGCGTGGGACCGCGCTCAGCGAAAGTCCGGTGGTGTCCACCACCCTGACGGCTGAGGGACAGCTCGTGGGTCAGTTTAGCCACAGGAAGTGAGACTGGGTCACCCTCCTGAGCTGAGCTTTTAACTCTGAGCACAGGCTGAGGTCCTGTGGGATGGTGGGTTTCGCTATTTCTCAGCTCAGATTTTGCCGCTGTCCAGCACACGACTGAAGGGCTCAGGGCTCAACGCTTTACTGAGATGCAGCTCTGACTGGTGGGACGCAACGAAGAAAAAGGGATTCTTGATGTGCTTGTTGGATGTTGACATATGTTGGACGCTGACATATGCTATCCCATGAAGCAGCAACAGAGGAGAATCAGTGTGCCGACCAGAGCACTCGAGATTGTCCATCATATACAGAAATGCAAGTAGGGGAGCTCATCCTGAACTGCAAGATGCAAAACTGATCCTTAAATGATGAAAAAGTCCTCTAACTGGGGGGAAACTGAGGCTGTGACAGGCAAGACTGGACGAGACTCCAGGCCTGTGACCTGCGCGCAGGGCGTTTTCTGGTGTTTTCTACCGGCAGTGCCTTAGCCAAGCTGCCCAGACCTCGCGGGGAGCAGGTGACCAGTGCTGACCTGGCAGGATTAGGGGCGCTATAAATACTGCCACTGTCAGTGACCTCGCTGTTTTTCAGAGGTGGTGGCCGTTCTGCGGGGAGGGGCAGAGTGGAGTTCCTCTGTTTGTGTCTGTGGGATTTGTGCCTCCCGAGGACATACCTAGTGTGAGCCGCAGAAGAAGTATTTTAAGATTAGCTGAACCTCCCCGAAAGGGATTATTTCGTGTGTCACAGAGAAAGAAGCTGATGGTGCAGATTTTTTCGACTGCTTCTTTCTCTGATGGAAAGCTTTTTGCTTTCTTTCCCTCTGGGAGGGCCCCTGTGAGGCCCTGAAGTTCTGAAGCTTTAGGACTAAAATGTTTTAAGTACGAAACATCATCACCTTAAATTTTAAGGTGGCCTCCACCCCTTGGATGACATGTATTTTCGCGCTGGCTTTGGCAAGATGGAACACGCACCCAGGGGTGTTGCAATTCCGTGCCTGGCTTCTGGAGAGCACACACTCACCCCGTCCCTCTCCAGCAACCTGCAAGCTAGCCCCCCAGACGAGGATTAGCTCAGGAAGCTGGGGACCAAGACAAAGAACAGCCTCACTGGACGGAACTGTGACCATCAAGGAGGAGATGGCCACTCACGTGGGAGAGAGTGACCACGTTCTTGTTAAGCTCACAATGACCAGGGAAATTTAAAAAATGAAGTAAAGAAAAGAGATTTCAAAATTTACGGGAAAGAGGCAAGTAAGATCTGATAACACCAGAGATTCTGAAAGGAGCTGGAAACCTCTCAAAAGAGAAGATTTCTCCCCCAACCCCTGCAACAAGCAGAAAAGAGAACAGAAGGCACCTGAAGACGTCAGGTGGTCCCCAGGCTGCTCTCGGGGGGAGGGAACACGGCAGCTGGGGAAGGGGGTACCGGCCATCCCCCTGCCTTCATTTGCTGGCTCACAGGCTCTCTCTTCCCCAGTTCCCGGGAGGTAAGCCTAGATAAAGTCTAAGAACTACCACCTTCAAGGGCTCACCAACTCGTGGATGAATAAGGACAGGAAGGCAAAAGCCCAGATTACGCTGAATGGGTTGCAGGTGCTGAGATCCAGAGAAAGGGCTCTACAGAACTATACTCGAGGTAAGAAGAGGAAGAGGAAAGAACCGGTAGGGGCCGAGGGTACATTCCAAGCCCCTCCTTTGAGTCTGCCTTTTCCACGAAGGAGGGTCATCTTAAAATAAATGAGCAAACATCGTTAAAAGGAATTTGAAGATCGAAACCGATAAGAGGGAGTGAAGCATTTTGCCTGTGCAAGTCCCAGATCACTAACATCATCTGAAGTGAAAACACTCGTCAGCGTGGCTGAGAAGGCAAAGAAGTGGGGAGATACCAGGAACCTCGAGGTTGACAAATCCCCCGAAGATGGATTCGAGAAGGGGCCAGCCCCCGACTATCATGAGAATACGGCCAACGGGGTCTCACTGTTGGCTAACAGTGCCATGTGGCTAAATGAAAAAGCCCATGTAGGCTTAGGCTGCATTAATAAAAACTATAAAGTCAAAACTGGATAATTCTAGTCCATTAGCCGAGGTCAGACCTGATTTGGCGTTTGTGTTCCACATTCTCAGAGGACACTCACAAGCTGGAACAATTTCAAGGAGCACAACGAAAACCCCGCAGGGTCTGGAAGCCAAGCCTGTTAAAAAGGTCTGGAAACAGGCTTTGGCTGTTTGAAGGGCTGCCACGTGGAAGAGGGATTAGACGGACACTAAGGGCAGAGATGAGGACGACGCCTCACCATCCCTTCGTCTGTGGATACTGCAGTCCGTCTTCACAGCCTCCTTCCCGCCTCTCAGGGAGTCGGATCTTAGTTACTTCTATAGTTTTGATTCTACAGTGACCTACTGATTCCCGCAGCGATCAGTTTGTTATTAAGACAATGGGCTTCATACATGAATTCATTCAGAAAATAATTACTGGGCCCCTGTCCTGGGCCAGCCACTGTGCCGGATGCTGGGCATTTACAACGGCGAACACGGCAGAGATGACGCCAGCACTCACGGAGACCCGCTGGCTACAGAGCACTGAGTCATGATGGGGGACTTGGGGCATGACGCGGACAGCGGGGGCCTCGGGGTGGGAAGCCGGCTGACAGTCCAAGTAACATACGCTGAACAGAGAGTCAGGGAGAGGGTTTCAGGCCAAAGGGACAACGTGAGCAGAGGCCTGGGCCGCGAGAACACACAACGGCCCCTCAGCTCCAAGTGCTCTGCGTGGCTAGAACGGGGGGCAGGACATTGAGATGCGCCTTGTACTGCTCGTTTAGGGTTTGGGTTTCTGTCGCACAGAGGAGCCCCTGGAAGGTCTCTACACCAGCCGCTCCATGAGGACTGGTTTGGAGGGGAAGTGTGTAGAGCCCCCACTGGGGGCTGTGGTCCCAGTTGAGCGGGAGCTGTAGAAGCAGAAACAGGGATGCGATGTGGGGAATGGAGGAGAGGGAGGTCCGAGGGGTATTTAGGGGAAGGCTAAGACCTGGCTCTGTCCCCGAGGGGATGTCAGGGTGAGGAAGAAAGCCGAGCTGGGGATGAGCCCAGGCTTCTGTCTCCGGCAACACTAAGCAGGCAGGAGTCCTTGCTAGTCACTGAAATAGGGAACAGAGAGAAGAAAAAGCCCAGGGCCACGAGCAGACCATTGAGTCCGCTTTGGGACAGGAGGAGCTGTCAGCGCCCGTGGGAAACCAGAGTGCATCTCTGGGCAGGAGGCAGTTAGATGTTTGCGCCTGAAGCTCAGGAGGGAGATGGGAGTCAAAGACGCTGATCGGGGAATCAGCCAGACACGGCACCTGAAGCCACGACCTGCAGAGAGAGGGCTTAGCGGGCAGATGGACAGAGGGGGATGCTCACTCAGAGTGAGGAAGAGGGACGTTCCGCCAAGGAGCCTGTGTGGGAACACTCAGAAAGGAAGAGGGAAAAGCAGCCGGGGAGAGGGTCGCAGAAGCCACGGGAAATGAGCAAAGGATGCACACAACGGCAGCATCGAACACGGCAGGTGAGAACCGGACGGCGCCCGGGGGAGCTGCCGCGTGAGCCCACAGGGACCGGGGCAGGCTCTCTAGGGAGACAACAGGGAGTGGTGACAAGAACGCAGCCCACAGGAACGATCTAGGAAGGAAGTGGGGCCCTTCGCCCCTGAAGAAGGAGGCGGGGGGCTGCGGTGGGAACAGCAGAGGGCACAGGTGGGGAGCACAGATGTGGCCAACAGCAGCGGGAAGGGTGGGCTTGAGGTGCTTTTGCGTAATTCTCTCAAGGAGCTTGGATGCGAAGGGGAGGAGAAACGTAGGGGGGCTGCTGGATAAAGACATGATTTTCATGCTTTCTTTAGATTTTTTTTTTATATATAAAGTTGGGAGACAAGCATATTGAAACGTAGATAGGAAGGAGAGATTTGGGAGAAGTTGGCAGTGGGGACAGGGAGACACTGAGCACAAAGGATGGCTGAAGTCGTGCAGGCGAGTGCATGGAGGTACCACTCAGCTAGGGGCCGGGGGCTGGGGGGGGATGTCCCTGCCTCCACGGCCGCGAGCACACAGAGGACATCCTGCTTACTGTAAATGTGACCCCTCAATCCAAAGTAGCATCTCCCTCCTCCTCTTTCCTTTGACTTCATTTTTTTCTGCCAAGCAGCTGTGTTTCCCTGCAGAAGGCTGCATTACGGCCACCCAGAGGGATATTCCCTTCCTAATGCCCAGAACGAGTATTCATTCCTTTATACGGTGGACAGAGGTGATTAAATTAAGGATCTTGAGATAAGATTGCTTGGGAATGTCTGGGTGGGCCCTAAAAACCGTCACAAATGTCCTTATTATAGAAAAGGGAGGCACACAGAGGAGAAGGCGATGTGAAGACAGAGATTGGCGTGATTCGGCCAAGGAATGCCGGCCGCCACCAGCAGCTGGAAGAGGCAAGGAATGAATTCTTTTCTAAAGCCACTGGAGAGAGTATGCCCCGCTAGCACCTCGATTTCAGCCCAGTGAACTGAATTTCGACTTCTGGCCTCCAGAACTAGGAGGGAATACATTTCTGATGTTTTAAGCCGTCAGGTTTGTGGTCATTTGTTACGGGAGCCACAGGAAACTAACGCACCGTCCAACACCATAGTGTATGTTAATTGCCTGTCTTCTCCATGAGGTTATGAACCCCCCCCCCCAAGAAAAGAGACTCTGTGTGTTAGTTTCACCATGGTAGCCCTGGGACCTGGTATGCAGCAGGGGCGCAAGCATTTGTTGAATGACTGCATGAACAAATATGCACGTGCCCCCTCTCTGGGGAGCTGTGCTGTAAATAGAGAAACCTTAGGCATCACCCATCCCACTGAAAGTGTTCCATCGCCCATGCTCTAGACAAGTTTGGCAACGCATCCAAGCGTGCTTAAAAATCTTTCCTCACTGGCATTTCTAATATTTGGTTGGTGTGTACTGATGTATCAGATGTCTAAGCCAGAGGACTAAACATATCAATTTCTCTCTTTCAGCGCTCACTGAAGCTTGTGGGTAACTGACATTTCTGAATTAACAAGACGAACAAAGGCTGGAACGAACACTGTCAGCACCGGGGACTGGAGGCTTTAAACAGGAAGGGGTGATGGGACATCCAAAGAACTTTCCCAAGTTCTCGGGGGGAAAAACGTGCAATATGTGTCTTGTGTGTGGGTGAGGTCTGTCTAGAGAAGGTATGTATAAATCTATCAAGAAGCTGAATTTATTTTAAACACCAAAAGAAAAGAAATCCCACAGAAATTTGGAAGGGTATTATAGATATCACTAGAAAAAATCATAAAATTATTCACTGGCATCGAAAATACCAGTAGCCACTTATTTACAGATACAGCCATCCTTTCCTTACATGGAATCCCACGTGTCTGGGGACCAAGGAGGAGAGAGCCGGCATTCTTTGCTTCCAGCGTGCCAGGCGCTATATGCTAAGCTATTACCCCTTTGCAAAGTCTTATAAGGTGGGTATTCTTCTCATGCCCACATGGCAGCTGGGGAAGCCCAGGCTTATAGTTTTCAGAGACCACCCAGCTGGTGAGTGGTAGGGTCAGGGTTTGAACCCAGGCCCTGGGGCCTCCGGGCCCACATCCATGAACACTGTGTTATGTGGCCCTGAATTCAAGCCTAAGCTACTCCCTCTCCTTTGGTTCTCTGACCCTTCCCAACCGACCCCTTTTAAATCAAAATCCGCAAAGAGGGCAGGCAAGTGTCACTGAGAGCCCAGGGCCCTTGGCACCATGCCCAGCCCTGCATCTGAATCCATCTCTGGTTCACAGGGGCCGGCTCTCCAAACCTTCTTGTTTTTGTTTGTTCCGGTAAGGTCCGATTCATTCCTTGAGCCACATTGGTTAAGAGCCATCTCTGAGGGAGGATTAAAGGCGGGCCTTTGAAAACTGGCTGATGAATGATGAGCAAGTTTCCCGGGCACTATTATTTGCCACACGTGCTTTTTCTCAGTGTCACATGGTGGTTCTTTGAGGCTGGCCCTGGGCTCAGAAGGTTCAGAAAGACTCTGGAAAAAATCTCACGGCACAACTCAATCGTGTTTCCTTCACTGCCTGAACAAGTGGGCACTCGCGCTCAGAGCTGGAAATGCAGTAAAACGCTTTAAGATAACATAAAGAACATTTTCAGTAAAGGCCATGCATCAGTTAGCTAAGACTGACGTTTCTTCCCCGTTCACTCTTAGTCTGCCTACAGGTGCAGAAGACACCTAAGTGCTGGGAGAAGTAAAGCAGGTATTAAATTCTCCACTTGCTGTTTCCGTAAGACATCTCTGTTCTTGTATTTCCAGCTTCTCCAGGTGAGAATCTGAACGTGGGGTTTGCTTAGAAATACTGTTCATGCAGGTCAGCACTGTCCCCGGATTTATGTGCTTAATTATGTCTTTGCTGATGGGGCTTTTAGGGGGTGAGGGTAGAGGGTGGTTGGTATCACAGCATTCAATAGAAGCACCAGTGTTTGATTTATGTTACCTTAATGTTTGGGGGAAATACCTCTGTGTAACCAGAATCATCCTTGATTGTTTTCTCTTGTTTCTGGGTCCAACGTTCTCTGGCTTCACTAAACACAAAATGATCACTTAGCGCACCTAACGGCGCTTTATGTCCTCACGTGCTGATTTCACTACGTCTATTCAGTGTTTCCTGAGATAATTTACAAAAAAAGTTTAAAGATATTTTACATGGGCTTTGCTGACTCCTTACATGTCTTATCAGCATAAATCAACAGGATATCAAAGTTCACCAGGAAGCTGCTTGTGTTCAGAGCCCAAAGCACCTGGGAGTGAGAGCAGACGCTGAAATCAGAAAACCGAGCGGCCACGAATGTCACGGCCTCGTTTTGTCCACACGTCTCATCGTGATTATTGTTGGGAGGCTCTGGACCACACATCTGACCATTACATACTGTAATGTACCCACCGGATAAGAAGAAAAACGCTCCCCTACTGCTTCTGTCTTTAAGCTGAGATGAATAAAAGTGATTTTTAAAAAAGCCACAGAGTCATAAAATACAGTTCCTGGAAATCTATGAATTGATCCCCACTGGGTTATCTTGAATATTGTGTGGAATGATTCCTGACTGCTTTCTCCCTCTGATAAATCTGCTTTTGCATCAGAAAACCCTCGGAGTGGAGCCTGTGAACCACATCCTCGATGTGAGGCTGGGGTCTGGCAGGCAGCATGGGGAATGTGTAGGACCCACGGGCCAATCAAGACTCTTCTGCAGGAGCTGGGGGAGAACACAGTTGTCTTCTGCCTGGTTCCCAAACCCCTTCAGGTGGTGGCTCTGCACCTGTTCTTTATAGAACACAGTTGTGTACTGACAGGTGACGCTGAAACTAAGTAATTTTTATGGTTTTGTGCCAAATCAGATACTACTGTTGATGCAGGAAGCAGCAGAAGGGATCAAGGTTTTGAGACAATTTGGGGGTATAAATAAAACTGGATAAAATACTAGCAACTTAATTTGTTCCTTGAAAATTGCGAACATGTTTCGGCTTTTCAGTGCTCGTGATGGTGGCTCTGCAGGGCCGGGGTGAGGTGCATTGGACCGTTCAACTAATGGAAAGCAGAATAAAACCAAAACGCAAAACAACCTAAATAGAACACTGGTACTTCTATGATGCCAACAACCACCCCCCCCCTCAAAAAAAAGCCCCATCAGCACGGACATAGTTAAGCACATAAATTTGGGGACAGTGCTGACCTGCACGAACAATATTTCTAAGCAAACCCTACACTCAGACTCTCACCTGGAGAAGCTGGAAACACAAGAATACAAATGTGTTATGGAAACAGTAAGTGGAGAATTTAAAAAGGAAGCAGATCAGTTGATTAGTTAGTTCTGGTCAATCAATCCATGTGGCCTTAAATGACAAGAGGACTCTGTTCTTTCAGAAACATCAGTGTATGAGTTTGCTAGGGCTGCTGTAACAAAGTACCACAAACCGGGCAGCCTAACAATTTATTGTCTCAGAGTCCTGGAGTGACAACAAAATCAAGGTGTGGGCAGGGCCATGCTCCCTCTGAAGGCGCCAGGGAAGAATCTGCTCCAGGCCTCCCGGTTTCCGGCAGCATCACTCCAGTCTCCACGTACCGCCCCCCAACCCCCTGTGTGCGTGTCTGTGTCCACACCCCCCCTCCTCTAAGAGCACTAGTCAGACTGGATAAGGGGTCCACCTGACTCACCCACCAGGACCTCATCAGAACCCTATTTCCAAATAAGGCCTCATTCTGAGGCACTGGGGCTAGAATGTCAATATAGGAATTTGGGGTGGACATAATTCACCCCATAATCATCAGAATAGAAGATTCGGGGTCAAGTGCGGAGTCACACTTCCCCTTTTTACCACGCATTGACATCAAAAGGCAAGGCTCAGGGTGGATCCAGAGTAAACACCTATTTTAATTCTTTTTTTAAAAGAAATAGATCCTTAAGTAGTAACAGCCACTGGCCTCAAATACCCTTGCATCCTATTGTGTGAAGCACTGTGGTTGAATGGCAAGTCTCCCTTCTCTCTCTACCTTAAATGACGGCAACACAAACACACACACACACACACACACACCACCGCCACTGCTGCCACTGGGGCCATCACCACGCAGCCTCCATTTGCTGAAGCTGAGGGAGGCCAGTAGGACACAGCCTGGAGACCCTGGCACAGTCCCATGACCTCAGCATAATTCGAATCTGGGGTCATGAAGCCCACCCTGGAGCAGCCTGTTAAGAATCACTCTTCACGAGTCCCTCCCATCAGGCAACTTCCACAAGCCTCTTAGATAGCCTCATCCACCAGACAACAGACGGCAGAAGCAAGAAGAACTACAATCCTGCAGCCTGTGGAAGAAAAACCACATTCACAGAAAGGCAGACAAGATGAAAAGGCAGAGGGTTACGAACCAGATGAAGGGAAAAGATAAAACCCCAGAAAAACAACTATATGAAGTGGAGATAGGCAACCTTTCAGAAAAAGAATTCAGAATAATAATAGTGAAGATGATCCAGGACCTCAGAAAAAGAATGGAGGCAAAGCTCGAGAAGATGCAAGAAACGTTTAACAAAGACCTAGAAGAATTAAAGAACAAACAAGCAGAGATGAACAATACAATGAATGAAATGAAAACTACACTAGAAGGAATCAATAGCAGAATAAGTGAGGCAGAAGAATGGATAAGTGACCTGGAAGACAGAATGGTGAAATTCACTGCTGTGGAATAGAATAAAGGAAAAAGAATGAAAAGAAATGAAGGGAGCCTAAGAGACCTCTGTGACAACATTAAACGCAACAACATTCGCGTTATAGGGGTCCCAGAAGCAGAAGAGAGAGAGAAAGGACCCGAGAAAATATTTGAAGAGATTATAGTCGAAAACTTCCCTAACATGGGAAAGGAAATACCCACCCAAGTCCAGGAAGCCCAGCAAGTCCCATACAGGATAAACCCAAGGAGAAACACGCTGAGACACATAGTAGTCAAATTGGCAAAAATTAAAGACAAAGAAAAATTATTGAAAGCAGCAAGTGAAAATGACAAATAACATACAAGGGAACTCCCATAAGGATAATAGCTGATTTCTCAGGAGAAACTCTAGAAGCCAGAAGGGAGTGGCATGATATACTTAAAGTGATGAAAGGGAAGAACCTACAACCAAAATTACTCTCTGGCAAGGACCTCATTCAGATTTGATGGTGAAATCAAAAGCTTTATAGACAAGCAAAAGCTAAGAGAACTCAGCACCACCAAACCAGTTCTACAACAAATGCTAAAGGAACTTCTCTAAGTGAGAAACACAAGAGAAGAAAAGCACCTACAAAAACAAACCCAAAACAATTAAGAAAATGGTCCTAGGAGCATACATATCGATAATTACCTTAAGCGTGAATGGATTAAATGCTCCAACCAAAAGACACAGGCTTGCTGAATGGATACAAAAACAAGACCCATATTTATGCTGTCTACAAGAGACCCACTTCAAACCTAGGGACACATACAGACTGAAAGGGAGGGGATGGAAAAAGATATTCCATGCAAATGGAAATCAAAAGAAAGCTGGAGTAGCATTACTCATATCAGATAAAATAGACTTTAAAATAAAGAATGTTACAAGAGACGAGGAAGGACATTACATAATGATCAAGGGATTAATCCAAGAAGAATATGACAATTATAAATATATATGCACCCAACATAGGAGCACCACAATACATAAAGCAACTGCTAACAGCTCTAAAAGAGGAAATCGACAGTAACACAATAATAGTGGGGGACTTTAACACCTCACTTACACCAATGGACAGATCATCCAAACAGAAAACTAATAAGGAAACACAAGCTTTAAATGACACAACAGACCAGATAGATTTAATTGATATTTATAGGACATTCCATCCAAAAACAGCAGATTACACTTTCTTCTCAATTGTGCATGGAACATTCTCCAGGAGAGATCACATCTTGGGTCACAAATCAAGCCTCCGTTAATTTAAGAAAATTGAAATCATATCAAGCATCTTTTCTGACCACAATGCTATGAGGTTAGAAATGAATTACAGGGAAAGAAACGTAAAAAACACAAACACATGGAGGCTAAACAATACGTTACTAAATATCCAAGAGATCACTAAAGAAATCAAAGAGGAAATAAAAAAAAAACCTAGAGCCAAAGGACAATGAAAACACGACGATACAAAACCTATGGGAGGCAGCAAAAGCAGTTCTAAGAGGGAAGTTTATAGCTATACAATCCTACCTCAAGAAACAAGAAAAATCTCAAATAAACAATCTAATGTTACACCAAAGAAACTAGAGGAAGAAGAACAAACAAAACCCAAAGTTAGCAGAAGGAAAGAAATCATAAGGATCAGAGAAGAAATAAATGAAATAGAAACAAAGAAAACAATAGCAAAGATCAATAAAACTAAAAGCTGGTTCTTTGAGAAGATAAACAAAATCGATACACTATTAGCCAGACTCATCAAGAAAAAGAGGGAGAGGACTCAAATCAATAAAATTAGAAATGAAAAAGGAGAGGTTACAACAGACACTGCAGAAATACAAAGCATCCTGAGAGACTACTACAAGCAACTCTATGTCAATAAAATGGCAACCTGGAAGAAATGGATACATTCTTAGACAGGTATAATCTTCAAAGAATGAACCAGGAAGAAATAGAAAATACGAACAGACCAATCACAAGTAATGAAATTGAAACTGTGATTAAAAATCTTCCCACAAACAAACGTCCAGGACCTGACAGCTTCACAGGTGAAATCTATCAAACATTTAGAGAAGAGATAACACCCATCCTTCTCAAACTCTTCCAAAAAACTGCAGAGGAAGGAACACTCCCAAACTCATTCTATGAGGCCACCATCACCCTGATACCAAGACCAGACAAAGATACTACAAAAAAAGAAAATTACAGACCAATATCACTGATGAATATAGATGCAAAAATCCTCAACAAAATACTAGCAAACAGAATCCAACAACATATTAAAAGAATCATACACCACGATCAAGTGGGATTTATCCCAGGGATGCAAGGATTCTTCAATATATGCAAATCAGTCAATGTGATACACCATATTTACAAACTGAAGAAGAAAAACCATATGATCATCTCAGTAGATGCAGAAAAAGCTTTTGACAAAATTCAACACCCATTTATGATAAAAACTCTCCAGAAAGTGGGCATAGAGGGAATCTACCTCAACATAATAAAGGCCATATATGACAAACCTATAGCAAACATTATTCTCAATGGTGAAAAACTGAAAGCATTTCCTCTAAGATCAGGAACAAGACAAGGATGTCCACTCTCATTGCTATTATTCAACATAGTTTTGGAAGTTCTAGCCTCGGCAGTCAGAGAAGAAAAAGAAATAAAAGGAATCCAAATTGGAAAAGAAGAAGTAAAACTGTCACTGTTTGCAGATGACATGATACTATACATAGAGAATCCTAAAGATGCCACCAGAAAACTACTAGAGCTAATCAATGAATTTGGTAAAGTTGCAGGATACAAAATTAATGCCCAAAAATCTCTTTCATTCCTATACACTAATGATGAAAAATCTGAAAGAGAAATTAAGGAAACACTCCCATCTACCACTGCAACAAAAAGAATAAAACACCTAGGAATAAGCCTACCTAGGGAGACAAAAGACCTGTATGCAGAAAACTGTAAGACACTGATGAAAGAAATTAAAGGTGATACCAACAAACCGATAGATATACCATGTTCTTGGATTGGAAGAACCAATATTGTGAAAATGACTATACTACCCAAAGCAATCTACAGATTCAATGCAATCCCTATCAAATTACCAATGGCATTTTTTACAGAACTAGAACAAAAAATCCTAAAATTTGTATGGAGACACAAAAGACCCCGAATAGCGAAAGCAGTCTTGAGGGAAAAAAACAGAGCTGGACGAATCAGACTTCCTGACTTCAGACTATACCACAAAGCTACAGTAATCAAGACAATATGGTACTGGCACAAAAACAGAACTATAGATCAATGGAACAGGATAGAAAGCCCAGAGGTAAACCCACGCACCTATGCTCAACTAATCTATG